CCAACCTACTAGTAATGCCCTCCAACCTAGATGGCCTCCAACATTCTCCAACCTACTAGCGATGGTCTCCAACCTACTAGCGATGGCCTCCAACCTACTAGTAATGCCCTCCAACCTACTAGCGATGGACTCCAACCTAATAGCGCCTCCAACCTAATAGCCGTGCCTCCAACCTAATAGCGAGTGCCTCCAACCTACTAGCCATGGCCTCCAACCTACCAGCGATGGCCTCCAACCTAATAGCGATGGCCTCCAACCTACCAGCGATGGCCTCCAACCTACTAGCGATGGCCTCCAACCTACTAGCGATGGTCTCCAACCTACTAGCGTTGGCCTCCAACCTACTAGCAAGGCAAAAACACAACAAAGACAGGAACAACATTCTTTACGCACCTTTCTGCAGGGAAACATAAAGACTCCAGACCATGGTCTTCCGGTTTCGCTGAGGCAAGGAGTGACGACAGAACAGCGCGATCTGAAGTTTTGCATCTGAAGCGCCGGATGACGTATTAGTATGTAGGTTTTTCTCGCTGAGACGTTGCTACAATAAGCTACAATAAACTACTGTAACCCCTTTGGACATAGAACCAGAGAAACGTTGCTCTTGTTTCGATGCTTGACATGAAGCGCAAAAGGACCTAGAACGTTGCTGTTCAACAGTGCGGCAGAATCTTTTGACTCAGTGCATAAAAGAAAAAACAAGCCTGGCTAAAAGCCGGCCTGAAAACGTTCGAGGCATGCAATCGCCGACTCAATGTTCAAAATGGAGTCGCTGCGAAAGCTTGAATGTCTGAATCAACGTCGGATTGTTTGCGGTTTTGGTCATGTCTCCTTAAAGTAGGCTTTTGTCTTTTGACATCTCCATTTCAAGGTTCTTGCAGACGTGACGTGAGATTTGGGTGTGTATTGCAATACCCCCAAATATCTTCTGGCAAAATAAAGAATAGACTAAGACCCATTGGGCTAGGAGGGTCTTTGCAGTCTCTTTTTTTCCAATGCACCAGATTCTGTGTTCGCAAGTCCACCGTTCACATCGCACATACGGAACTCTGCAGTGAGTCTGGGTCAATTGAGGTCGCTTGACATGAAGGCCGAGAGCGAGGACACTGCAGCCCGACTTGGTTCACTTGTCACATGTTGTCGTCCTTACTAGATCTTTCTCATCTTTCTCACAGCCAGGACATGCCTCTGCGAATGAAGGCCAAATGACATGTTTGGGTTTGTAACTTCCTTCCAGTATTCTTGTGGAGGCAATCGAAGAAAAGGTCGATGTGATGCGGCAGCAGTTTGAGGCAGGCATAGGTGTGGAGGCGGCTTTTGCAGCGGGGATCCCTATGCCTGAGACATGACATACGGATGACAATTTAATGAAATATGTAGCAAATTGAATCAGCTCTTGGGAACCATTCGGGTCACCCATCGAGTTTGCAAGGTGGACTTGCGACTCGCAACGCGTCCCAAGGCTGGCCGCATACCCTCTGGCGAGGAGCACCTCGCCCGCCCAGGTGGATATGGGACATGAACAGGGGAACAACACATGATGACGGGTGATGCAGGGTCTTGTATGCTACAACCAAAGAGAGCAACTAACGAGAGGTCTTGAGTCTTGAATGACGAAGATCTTTTGGGGAGGTTGACTCAGAAAAGAATCCTATGTGACCAACCAGAGGTGGCAATATTGTTTCGGGTGCAATTTCAATATTAGCTTGCGGACTTGTACCTTGGCTGATGCAGCACCGCTTGGGTTTCTGACACAATGAATCATTGAACCACTGGGTTGAGCAAACGAATCCCAGCAAGATAGGGAAGCTAAGTAACTAAAGTCACAGTGACAGCAACGAGGCTATCAACTCTGAACATTCGGCTTGCCCGGCTTGCCACGCAATTAGAAGATATTAGAAGCAGCATAAAACCAGCAAGACGAGGAGGCATGCATGCTAATGTACGACTGCAGAGTGGTGATGCAGGCTTTTACCGTGCACAATCAGGCACCGGGCTCAGTCAGATGAGGCGTAAAGCTGGTCGAATCTTGCCATTGATCCATTGCCATGTCCCTGTTTTGTGCTAAAATGTTTTCTTCGCTCCAATCCCTCATGTCCTGTCCGATCTCTAGATCCTCATGTCATGTCTGTCGGGGGGGGCAGTGTTCCGTCCTCAAAATAGATTCATGGCTGTGGTATGCTGTGTTTCATGGAGCTTGCAATTGATAGCTCAGAATGACACGTACAGTTACAGTAAGTACCGGCAACACATTCGGCACCATTTCGTATCATTTACCCACAAGAATCGGAATCAGGAAGAGGTTGAGCACTGCGTGGGCCTAGGGCTGGAAAGGACATTAGAAGGATTTCTGCGGGTCAAGACTCCTTGGGTGGTCCCAAGTCGGTTTCTTCATGCTTCAGGTCTCCACAAGACTGAGGCACTAAGCTTTGGCCCAAAAAAATAGTTACTGTAAGAGCGCTGTCCAAGGCTTTTCAGATGGCTATGCGGAGGCTCTCATGGCCAGCAACGCCCTCAATGCCAGTAAAATCTTGGTGCGATTGCGAGGAAGTGCGATTTCAACTGACTGACTGACTGACTGACTGCCTGACTGACTGACTGACTCAGTGACTGACTGACCGACCGACCGACTGACTGACTGACCAATCTGACACCAATGAATCGATCTCAAGGGGATAGGATGCTTCGGAGATGTGTCTTGACTTCGTGAAGCTGGCGGAGTCTTCTGAACAGGTTATCCAGTTCAAGGATGTTCAAGGTACATCTGAAGTGCCTGTAGAGCAGATGATAAAGATGAGGATGAGAGCTCTTTTTGTATCCATTGATGCATTGATACCTTGCTACCAACGAAGGCAAGCTGGAGCTGCCCGAATTATTTTGCTGGTAACCTGACCACTGAGATTTGACTGCGCTGGACGGCCTTGACGCCGGCGATTTGGCCCGCCGTTTGGATCGGATGGATGCCATGCTGCAGGTGCCAACACCGATTTGCAGGGTTTATTTTGTCATAAAAGGCTATCGAAATGAGATGAAATGGATGTGTCTTGAAATGGGGAGACCACAGGGTCCCTTGAGAAGAGCACTATTAATCCTTTGGAAGGAAGGGAATGCATAATTCGGGCAAAGCATGGTATACGACGACATACTTCCCCCGCAGTCTGCGAGATGCAATTTAGTGATATTATGTTGTTTCAGCAGGGTCAGGGTCTCTGTATTGGTGATTGTTTCTGAGAAAGGTGTGGATCATGTGGGATCTATTGGACCTCGTCCCAGTTTGCCCAGTTGGTGATCCGCAAGAGATCTTGGCTTGATGGTTTATGAAACACAAGCAAGGATCCCTTGAAGTCGAGTAGAGACATGGTACAATCAGATATATAATGATTTAGGCGATTGTACATCCGCCTTTGCACCCCCTCCCGACAAGTTGTTGCTATCTCGATACTGTTGATGAAGACAACAGTGCAACGCTTGCACTCATATCAATGGGTGTATATTGACATAAGGATACCTGGGGTAAGGACCATTTCCTAAAGGGAACACAAACATCCTGTGCTTCGAGAGTCTCGCTACATTCATACCCAGGCACCACTCTTCAATGTTGCTGGATTGCCTGCTGTGCTGCATGGTTACTAGTGACAAGGGCATTCCTACTAGCAGCAAGAAGCTACTCGTAACAAAGGGCATCGCTACTAGGAGCAAGAACGGTACTCATTCACTCAACTTTCTGTGTCCCCACATTTTAGCCGTGCCCTAAGGCTTTCAGGGCTTCGGACTGATGCCGGATGTTGTCCATCTGCAGTGGTTGCATGCTAATCAATTCAGTGAAACGTACGTCGGTGTGTGGCAGTACCATGGTGTTCAGTGATGCTCAGCTTGCTGCAGTTTTGCGCACTCCTATGCATTTGCCGCTGCTTATTAATCACCCTTCTTTAAGCTTAGACGGTGTAAAACGGCTGTTTTCTTTCTAAGCTTAGACAGTGTAAAGTTTGTCGAACATTTGTGCGGTCTTGACGTGGTTTTGTGATGTTCGACCAGCCACTGGAAGGCGCGAGCGACACTTGGTTGATGCTGACAGTTTGTTTCCTTGATGTTGCAGTCTGTTGCTTGCACGCGATTCCGTGCTGGTGGTGTCAGGGGTTAAGAAAGATCATTGCACTTGCTATCACTTGACAGTTCGTCGTGTTCACGTTGCAGTCCACGAGCACATGTGCATTGACGTTCCTGCAGCACTGCTTACAAGACAATGCCATAAGTGATATTCTATGATATTCTTGCGCGCTTTGTTTTTGTCCGCTCAATGTTCAGCCACGTATGTCGTGGTTTATCAGCCGTGTTCCCTAGCAATCTAAAGGAGACATGTCGTTTTAAGGGAGACAACCAGGCTACAGTTGCTTCCAACAAGGATCTGCCAAGCAAAAAGGAGCTAGCGCCATGAACCTGGTCTTGTTGGCCAGATCTGTTGCAACGCGTGCCTACAAGTAGTAGTAAAACCTCCAAGTCCAAGTTGAGAAAAACAGACAGTTGTGCATAGTTTACGGGTGGAAGACCACGGAGAGGCTCCAATGAAGACTACGACCAGGGGTACAGGCTTACCACAGGTTCCAGTCAAGGATGCAGTCAGCAGGGCCCCTTTTCAAGCTCCAGGCCGCTACCCACAGCACGACCTTTTTGCAAAAGACAGAGTGGAGCAAAGATGATTTTCTTCCTAACATGTCTAACATTACAATGTATGCCAGCCGCTGCATTTGTGTCTTCGTGTGTTTTTCGTGGAGGAGTTGCTTTCGCTCATGGTGCTGGGGCAAGGGCAGGCCCGCCCGTCACCATGTCCGCAGATTGTGTCGGGCTCCTGGTGCGCAGGCAATTTGGATGGACATTGGAAAACTGATGATAACTGCATTCATGCACCAGAACTCAAGTGAAGGTGAGGCAATTGTGTGACCATAGGAATAGGACGCTAAGGTCACTAAAGTCAATCAAAATGCAACGTACTTCACAGTCTTCAGCACCAAACTTGCAACAGAGCCATGCTGACATGAACACTGGTGTCTTGGTTCGGACTGAGTCGGCTAGTGAGGCATGATGAACTTTATTCTTTGCTAGAGAGGCATTGTCATGGGTTGTCCACTGCGCCGACGATTTTTTTGGATTTGCCAGGTAACAAGGGGGTTGTCTGCGAATTGCACATGATGGCTTTGGTTCTAGAACCATAGGGAAGTTTTCCAGGCGTACACGCTGACATACGCCGATAACTGACAAACAAACGGTTGCCAATTGACGCAACCCTGCATCCCTGCATGAGCATTCATGTCGCCATTGATGACTTTGAATTGATATGATTTGATGCATTATGCAATGTATGTAATGTCAAATATTTTCTGAGGACCTCCTTCGGCTCCCCTCGCTCTAGTCCGGCCCCTGCTTTGGCTGGGCCGGCCTCACCACCACAGGACTGGCATTCAAGTCGGAGATTTTGCATTCCTTATTTCCAGCAACTTGAAGCCTTGTGGGATGCGTGAGGATCTGACCCCGTGTCAGCCTTCTCAGCCCCCGCCGCCCTTGTCGCCCTCAGCGTCAATGAGCATGTTAAAGCCTTAGCAGCTCATTTCCATGCATTTGAGCGCATCATAGCGCATCCCAATTCCACCTGAAAGTGTTTGCTGCGGAGATCAAGGTCTGGACCAATCGTGGGGGCCCTGCGTTCGGTCAAGGAGGATTGTGCATTGGTTCTGTCAATGCTTTGCAATGTGAAGGCCTAAATTATGTAAAGCTCGACTGCCAGCAGACGCGGTGGCAATGGTTAAAAAAGATACTGAGCCAACCTTGGAAGCTGCAGTCATTGTCACCCACTCTGGGGGTTGTATATTGTCCTGGTCGTGGCTGCGATATTACATTGCCGTCATGGCTGTCATGTAATGTCCGTCTCAACAAATTTTGGCACAGGAGACATCCATGGACTTGGGCAGGCACGATTTTAGGATTAGAGCTGACTACAACTGTACCTCTCAACAAACGGAGGACAGAGAATTGGGTGCCTTTGGAGCACAGGATTCAATGGATTCAATGACAGGTTGCCTGTTGTCCCGGAATCCCCAGCATTATGAATGTGTAGGCTCCGAGAGAAAGAGATGGTCGAAGGGCCGATCACTGGCCTGTTGATGCAGAATCGTAGAACTGCTTTCCAGACACGAAGAACACTTCTTGGGATTCACTGCCCTTTTGCCAGGGTCATCACTCCGGAGGATATGAAGCCACACTCTGGCGGAAAGACCTTCGAGGTTCACATTTGTTGCGCTTGTCAGAAAGAGATGGCTTGTCCTCGAGTTCAGGTTGTCCTTGAACGGGATCCCTCCACTCAGCCGTCCTGGGGTTTGCTTTGGGCGCCTCAAGTTGCAAGAGCACTACAAGAGCGGTATATGTTGGCTTTTAAAAGTACAATTTCTTGTCACTTTTCTGTATTTATGAGGCTTACGCCTGACAGCCGGGCGCCGGCCCACTTGGGTCTGTGTAGGGCTGGGTCCTGTCTCTCTATCAGGTGCGCATCTTGGCCCTAGGTTGGGCCAAGTTGGGCGCATGTGGTCTATGTTGGGCACATCTTGGGCCCAAGTGGAGCCTATGTTGGGCCTAGGTTGGCCTATGTTAGGCCTATGTTGGCCTAGGTTGGGCCTATGTTGGGCCTATGTTGGCGTATGTTGGCCCCATGTTGGCATATGTTGGCCCTGTGTTGAGCCATCTTGGAGGCTATGTTGGCTATGTTGGGCCTATGTTGGGGAGATTTTAGGCAATTTATGTTCAAAAATATCTTCCGATACAACTTTTTACGATTTTTCCTTCCCGCAAAGCAAAAACCATGGAAAAACCTACGTTTTTTAACATCTCCAAGATGAAATTCTCGGCCGCCGAGGGGCCCAAAACCCTGTAAAACACAGTGCTTTGTGTACCTCACACGCACGAAACACTGTAAATTATATAGAAATCTGTCGACCGGATTCGGGCGGGGGTATACGCGAGGTCCAACAAAAGGGTTGGCGGCAGGGGGCGCGAGCGTATATCCGGCCAGGGGCCTGGCCGTGTCTTTGCCGTAGGCATCTCTCCTCTCCCGAAGGCCCTCCGGGCAGGGCACGGGCTTCGTGGCCGGCGCCCGGATTGTAAGGGCTACGCCCCGTGCTGCCGACCCCTGGGCCCAAAGGACCCGGGGGATCGCGGCCGGGGTGGGGGGTTCAATAGAGACCACCGCGTTGTTTGGGTGCGTATATTAAAGTTGTTGCGGTTAAAAAGCTCGTAGTTGGATGTCTGTTGAGGATGACCGGTCCGCCCTCTGGGTGTGCATCTGGCTCAGCCTTGACATCTTCCTGAAGAACGTATCTGCACTTGATAGTGTGGTGCGGTATTTGGGACATTTACCTGGAGGAAATTAGAGTGTTTCAAGCAAGCGCACGCTTTGAATACATTAGCATGGAATAATAAGATAGGACCTCAGTTCTATTTTGTTGGTTGCTAGAGCTGAGGTAATGGTTGACAGGGATAGTTGGGGGCATTCGTATTTAACTGTCAGAGGTGAAATTCTTGGATTTGTGAAAGACGGACTACTGCTGGGTTTAGAGTTAGTGAGAGAGGTTAGGTGTACTCAACGCATGAACGTGAGGGTGCGAGAGTAAGTGGAGACAGTAAGAGAGGAACACCTGTGTTGACCACCACCAGACCGTCGTAGCGTTGATGGGTGGTCCGCGGCGGTGCGGCATCTGCCGCGGCTTCACGGGCAGCGAGCGAGCCTGCCTGACGAGCCGGCAGTGCCTTGGCGGAACTGCAAGTATTGGGAATGTGGAGAAGGATGGCGAGGGGGTAGTGTTGACCAAGTAGTCGGTGTCCGGCGGACGTTTGTCATTGTGGTCAATAGGCTAGATGCTGGATAGGTTGGCGTGGTGCGGCAGCGAGAAGCAGCAACCCGACAAGAGGAAGTATGAGAAGAAGCGCTCATCAAGGCAATATGATTAGAAGATGTTAGAAGTGACCACCAAGGCCATGAAGCAGAGAAAGGGTTACTTTCAAGAATGTCCAACCGATGCTGGGGGCCGGGTGGCCGTCGAGTTGAAGCACTGTTGTAAGGCGTGGTGCGGAAAAGCATGAGACGCAGGTGATTTGGGTGAAGGGAATGTGATTTCTGAGGTTGCAGCTGCTGGAGCGGGTGCAGCTGCTGAGCGTGCGGCAGAGCGGGCAAGTGCGTCTGTGCGGCGTCTGTTCAGGCAGGATGATGTCGTGGGAGGGGAATTCGCTCTAGAAAGCGAGCCCGAACAGCCACGAAAGCGACTGCGAGGAAAGCAGCATCCGCCGCTGGCATGGGTACGTGAGTGCAAAGCTCTGACAGAAACTACCCGCCCTGTCGCCATAGAAGGCGTAAGTACAGCGAGCGGTTTGCGACCGGATGAATACGTCCTGAACCTATGGAGCGCAGCTGGCGGCAATGCGGACCCACGGGCACGCATGGATGAGGCGCTAAGCTGGTTCTAGGTCACCAGTATCGTCCTCGGCCCACTTTGCCCGAGTGGCTGCCCGCAGATGGACGCCTCCCATAGACATGGCGCCCTTCTACTGTTCCTTCCGCGGCTGTGCTTTTGAAGCGGCTGCGCTGGACACGCTCGAGGCTCACATCCACGAAAGCCACCGCGAGGTCCTGGACGCAGTGGTTGCTCAGCTACCTGTGTCCTGGACAACGACCGAGCGCCGTATAGAAGCATATCGCGCAGGACTTGCGTGGGTGTGCCAACAAAATGCGCCGCTCGCGCATCCAGCGATTGACCGACGAGCATTAAAGCAGTTTCAGCGCGGAGATACCATAGGGGCAGCCGTGTGTTTCTTGTGCGGACGCCGCTTTCCATACACCAACGGTTTGGGCCCCGGTGATGGAATTCGCTGGAACAGAATGGTCGGGCCCAGTGAGAACGAAATCTTATCGCTGCCTCTGGAGGAGGCCCAACGAACGCTCAGCGAGGAAGTCTATTGCCAAATGTATATGTGCCACGCAAACGACGGCGCACAAGAGAGAATGAGAGAAGCTTTGCAAGACTGGCGTGTACGAGTTCAAGTCACCGCAGACACGCGGATAACCATCATTGCCTGTGCAGAGGACAAAGTATGTCGCCATCGTTGTCCGCCTCACATGGCTTGCGAGCGTTGTCGGGCGCCGCTTTGTTCTTTTTGCTGGAAGCACCTCAACACGAAGAAAACCATTCCAGGCGAGGCTCTGGCTAACGACATGCTGGTCTTCCTATCCTCCGCGATGCATTTACTCCCAGGAGGTAACGTTTATGGAATTAGTTTGCGCTAGCCCGTGTTTCACTGCAATGGCTTGTTTCAGCCTGGAAAAAATTCTTAGGGGATCGTGCTATGGATCAAGATGCATTCATGCCCCGACAGCGCTTAGTTGCGCGAGGTAATGCGACCACATTTCCTTTGGCGTGGGAAGACCTAACTGGCATCCATGCAGGGCATCGCAGCATGTACTGAAGAAGGGGAACTTCAGCTCCCGAAAATTGGGCCCGAGTTAGCGGCAGTGGTC